GCCAGACGGCTTAGTTACCTGGCTGATAATGATCTAGAAAGTCCATGCCTAACAAGGGAAGTAAATTTAACTAGAGGGAAAATCTACCTGACAGGTAGAATCTTGAGATGCATTTGATAAGGAATTACCTGTGGCTCAAATGTCCAAGTAGAAGTAAAAAAGGCAATTGTCATGTATAGTAGTTTGTGATAAAAACATTCTTATTCTCTTCCAGATTCTCTTCACAAGATGCCGGAAAGTTAAAATTGGACAATGCACCATTGCCCAAGAGGAGACTCACTAATTAAACATTTGGACAGTAATTCACATAGGTCAATGAGAAATTAGCTTATACCTTTTATAAATAAGTTAATACTACTTGGATACAAATAGGAAAGAACTCCAACATGACTTTCACAAAAAGAGACAAGACAAGAAAACTGCACATGTATTGTATATTCATCATCACTAGCTTTGTAACAAGCATTTAAAAATTTTAATGTTTACTTTTTTAATAATAAATATTGGAATGTACTCAAGTTGTTTTATATTTCCTATCTTATAATGAAAAAAATCACATGTAAAAAACATGGATTATATGTTTAGACAGTTTTTTCTTGCTTGCTTGATTGAAATTGCATATTCAATTACCTCAGAATACACTAACTACAGGTTTATAAAATCTGATCCTGATAAAATTCATACTCACATTTGACATTGACCCTCTTGCAGTGATATGCGTCTTATTTGTCAAATCTTTTATTATTTAAAGTTGTGTAAAAAAAAAGGAAGTGAAAAGAAATAAAAAGATTTTTTTTTATATCAAATATATGCATTTTTTATTACCATAAGATCAGTATTGGTGAAATTAACCTCATATTATAAACGGGTAACTTTTAATGAAAAATAAAACGAAATATAAATGAAAGATAGTTGCTGACTGAAAAAAAACAAATATTATAAATACTTATAATAAGTTCTTGAATTATGACTGCTTTTCAGTTACTGAAAACAGAAAGCCATATTTTGGTACCTGGTGTATTATTTTCTACCAAACTAATACGACAAAATTGACTCTTAAATAACTAATTAAAAATAATGTAAACCTAGATGAAATTCCTAATTAAGATCTTAATTGCTAAGTGAAAAAACCCAAATGTTATAAATGCACAAGATCATAGTCTGTTTGTTGAAAATCTAGGTAATAATTCAAGCTGTAATTCTACTCTTCCTTTTGAGAGACTTTCTCAATCCTTTTTCTTTCGTAGATGCAGACACAGATTCTTGGTACTTTTCTTTAAGCTGTCTGCTAAATGAGTGGCCCCTAATGGTAATATATAATTTCACAAACATGCCAAAAAGGTCCCTTTTTAATTTGTCTGATTCACCAGCAGTTAGTTCTTCCCAATAATTCATGAGAGCTTTATTTTGTAAGGCCAAGTTCATAATTCCTTCACGGAGATCCCCATGGTTGTGATAAAAAAATGTGTTTTCCTCGGAGAATACTTCCCTCACCACCTCCTCAAGCAAACGCACAAACAGAAACAGAATGTCGGTAACATGACACAGTCCTCCTCTGTCAACCATCTCAGTCCACTGTCTTGACACCTTTAGATATGCTGCACTATCTGAGGATGGCTTGTCTTTTCTAAACCATGTTTTTATTATAGCAGCATACTGCAAGCTCTTTAGTTCACATTTTTTGACAATTTTTGACACATATATCCTGCCACATATCGAAGGGTCTGCTGTTCACTGTCTGTCATTTTACTCTTTGTCACACTCATTTTTTTCTGTCCATGTCTTCCCTATACTTGATCACCTGGTCAAAGGAAGACCTTAATAAAACCTGAAAAGCCTGCCTGGTTGTGAGTTCATCACAGTCGCTATGTTCTGAAGTGTTTCTTAGAAAATCCATTCCTTTGGTGGTAAAATCAGGTAATGTCCTTAACTTGTGGAACTTGGTCCAAACTTTGTCCTTCTGCCTGCTTGGCAATGCCTCCCTGTCCCCAGCGGTGACTGCCTCCCAAAGAAAACCCCTGAACCACTCAGGCAAACAGACAAGCTTTGACTTGAAAGCAGACAAGACAGCAATGACACTTCTACCTGTCTTGGTAATACTGTAGATTTGGTTGTCTATTACTTCCTGGATCCCGACTAAGACCAACATAAAAACAACCTCTTCAAACCTAGATCTTGTAAGGTCAGACTTCCGACCAGGGGATAGTGCAGGTTTGCTTTTGTACCTAAAGTAAAAATAAAAAAAAAATAATGTATCATATAGAAAAACAAGTCTGTGGTAAAGCTTTTGAGTCTCTTTTGAGCAGCATGACATCAAATTGACAGATTGTAAGATCAGATGTGACACTGGCCAACATTGTACATTAAAAAAGTAATAACCAACGCAATGCATTTTCTCTAATTCTAAGATCTTAAATTAAAAACGTAATTAAATTTATATACATACTTCTTTCTTTTTTTTTTTGGTACAGGCTCTGGAACAAAGTCACCCTCATCGTCGCCCAAATCAAAACTTGATTCTAAAATTTCTGCCCATTCCGCATCATCATCGTCTAAAAAGAATACAAAGTCGTCCTTCCCGTACATTTTGCAATAGTTGTCTGACTTAACCTTCTCTTAACTCTACCTTAAATAGTAAATGTCATCTGACACGGCTGCTCCTTTAACAATTTAACAAGCAGATCGATGACAATCACGATTGGTTTGTGACACTAGGCAATCTGGTTTAATTGACACCTGTGTTTGGTCATTGTCAAAGTGACTTCTGCACGTGATAAGATCAGTACATACACGCCAGCGGCTGCGTAAGCATGATTTCCAATCGTTGATGTCAAATGAATACGTGCCATTTAAGAAAACGTGCGAAAAACTTACCTGTGTAAATTTGATTGATCTTCCGGGGTGTCACAGCTACATGTAGGAAGGAGATTTCCGGTCATTGGGTGCGTATTCCTGTCCTGTCAGAGACTGTCTCACGGACAGGAAAAGACAGCAAGTATTGCAGACAAACTTCACAACCCGTTTTTATGAGGTAACGGGGGAAAGATGCCGAAAACCCCTCAATAAATTTCCACGTGTTGACGGAAACCTGTGTGCTCGCAACGGCAAGATGGTGGCAATGCTGTATCATAGCAACCACGAGGGACTGCGAGAAATTGCGTTATCAATGCAGAGAAACAATAGAAATGCACTGAAGCAGAGCTCGCGTACCTTAATAATAAGCTGTTCAGACGCCCGTGGAGCTATCAAAACAGATTATGTGAGACAATGGGCGAATGTTTACCCGAACGCACATAGCTTCAAAGGAAGATGCCGCGTTACTTGTCCTTCTCTATTTAGGTCCAAGATGGTAGTCATGATAAGTTTAAATATGAGATAATTATTTTATATAAGCATAGGCAGCCAGTTCAATTGGACCACCCGCCCGTTTAAAAGTATCCTGCACAAAGACCATATATTATATCATACATGTATATGTGGACTTTTGCTGACAATTTAACCAGATACACATCTGTGAATATTTAGTGGGAAATTAAGATGTGACCATGAAAGAGGGTGGTTAGAAATCTTGAAATTAGCAAAAGTAAATATATACAAAGCTTACAGTAGATGAATATGACTAGGGAATCTCCATATATGTGACGATGATCTTCAGAAATTCATTTTGGTTAGTAAAATCCCATAAAGTGTTCCTTTACAGTATAACATTTAGCCACTTGTGTGAGATTCATATTGTACAATAGATACATTATAAACAATTCAAAGAGATATAATGAGTTTTATTTTAACACAAAAAGCAGTCATCGCAATTATTCTGGAACCAGTGCTTGGCATCAGATCGCGTGACCTCCATAGGTGGCCATCCTCTGAAACAATCCCTTAAGGACAGTTTCATAAGATTCCATTACAAACAGAAAAGACTTACTTTGAAAGCTGTAACAGTGGGAAATTGTTGTTAACCCCAGGAAAATTAACTTATTTTTGCCAAAACGAACAATTGTTATCTCTTTAACATTTTTACATGTAGGTAGAGCGCTTGTGTTAGAATATAGTGTTGCTGATTAAGGCATGTTTTATATATTTCACTGTCCAATTCTATTTTAAGGGTCTGACTTTAATTCAGATTTCTTGACACGAAAGGTGTTTTGATAAGTTGATTACATCGATATTGTTTGAAAATAAATGAGGAAATTTACCTGTTTTACTTATTTATTTATTTTATTTATTGAAATTATTTATTTTTTGTGTGTATGATCATCTCCGGAAATTATAATGTTTCGTTATTAGAACAAGTCAGATAGTATGTTGATAAGGCACTTTAATATTATCAGATTACTTCGACAGGCGGGTGCACTAGACACAATTTTTGAATTTTTTATAACCTATCATTATTTCTTAACTTTGTTCACTTGAATACAAATGTAAAAGTTATAGACTTTTTGTTCATACATTAGTCTCAACAGCGTTTTGAAATTCAAATGTGATATATGAACGTATGAAAAGCAGAAGGATTTTTTTCTTTATATTCTTTTGACTAAAAAGGTTATCGCCTCTTTAAAAAAAACTGGTATTCCCCTAGATTCCTGACAATAAAGGGAAGCAGCAGACTTTTTATCATTATAATATCATAAAATAAATTGTATCTGGCGAAGTTGATTAATTGGTAAGCTAGAAATGGTCTCTCAGGCTTTTAGCCGCAAATGTACACAATGCAAACACACTGCAGAACCATATTTCTGGATTGTGTCTTATCTCATGTAGTGAGTACAGCATGATCCAACAAGTCATTTAATACCGTCTACCAATTACGGTTTAAAGGAAAAAGTGTTTGTAAGGTAGATGAAAGATAGCAAACCCATAAAATTCATTCAGCGAACACGCTCAAGTGCAAACATGTAAAACCAATGTTTCATGCGTAAGTTAAAAAATATAATGGTATGTCATAAAGCACTCCTCTGAAGTCTTCTTACAGATTCGTCTTTCTTCTATCCCATCTGGGCATGTCACAACTGGATCTGGCTCTGTACTGTGGTGATACTGACGGGGTGAAACGACTTCTGAGCGTTGGTAGTTATGACGTCAACGGCAAGGATAAGTTTGGGGTACGTACTGTTTCTCCATTTCACTACATTGTAGATCGTCACATTTGATCAAAAGGATGCTTTCTTAAATGCATTTGTGCTTTTAACATATGTTCCTGTATATAACTACATTATCTTCTCATATCTATGCCTCATTATCCCCTCTTTTCAAATAATCCATTTTCAGGCTTATCTTCATATATCAATTTTTAAATAAGTGGGAGATCCCAGATTTGGTTTTAGGATGAAAATTCCTCAAAATTACCAGCGTAGAACCTCACATAGAAATCATACAGTTGTTTCTTGTCTAGGTGTTTTACAATAAATTTCAAGATAATCATATGAATTTCTTGCTGAATCTTTGATTTGAGACGTGTTCCATTCCATATATCTTAAAACTGGTAACATTTTTTCTTATAAAAGCCTTTTCATCAAAGGTACTTTTCTGGCGTCCTAGTTTTGTTTGGATAATTTGACAAGCATAGTATGCATTTATGAATGTTTTCACCTCAAACACATTTTTTATATTTTATTTTCTTTTTTAAAGCAGGGTAAATACTTCACTTGTGCTAAATTTGTGCTTACAATTGAACGAGGAAGATATTAAAAAGGCTAGTTAAAGGAATTGGCACAATATGTGATAAGTCAAGCCTTACATGGCGTAAATTGTCGGAAAAGCGTAATTGTGTGTGTGTTTGTGTGTGTGTGTTTGGGGGGGGGGGGGGTAGTTAACTGATACGAATGCAAGATCATGTAAATATGGTGGTGCCAAACTTTATCCCCCAGGGCCAGGTTTCATCAAGGCTGGAAAGGCTATCCTATGGTTAACACTACCCATGGTATAAATATCTTATTCTCTGGACAGTTATCTTCTGTATAAATTTGTGTTTCACAAAGGCTGGATAAACAGCATGATAGTAAACCAATGTTTACAGTTGAAGGGCAAGGTCGTGACATACTTTTTAACAAAATGGCTGACTTGGCACGTTTAGCAGATTCTGTCAATAGCAGTGTAGATTTTTTTTTGGTCGATTTAAAAGGTATGTTTTAGTAAAATAAAAGATGATTGGTCTCTCACGGAGATTAAATGTTTTCTGTTCGTAGCAGAAGCGATGTCAACTTTGATAAAGTCTGTTATGTAATCTATTGATTCAGTATCACTTAAAGCATCAAAAGCAAACACACATCCTCTAAAATCCTCTTTCTAATCATTCCACGCCTGTGAAATCTCATAGGATTTTCTCCCAAAGCAAGCAGGTTCGCCATTTTTGATGATTTAACAGCATGATAGCACATTTATCCCACCTATTTCGAGCGGACAACTTTATCCTCTGAATAAGCTGATGTATCCCCTGGATAACGTTTTGCTCTTATTTGTAATTCGTTAAAATTCTTTAAAATTTACAAATAGAAAAATGACGTATAATAATGAATTACTACGTGTCACATTGACTACCCCGTAGAAGCACGTGTCGTTATTATGCTATGTCTGACATAAAGATCGTATGGGGTCATATGATGTAATGTGTTGTGGTGCAGTAGTTCTCGGGTAATGTGGCGATCTAGCTTATTGTTTAACGCTGAGGTTAACAAAGATAGGAAATGCGTATATAAGATATCTGAATTGATATCCGATGAAGAGAAAAGACAAGAAGAAGATAGGGAGCGTCGGAATACAGAGCAGACGCAGTTACGGAGAGTTAGGACTTGGAAACTTGACTTAAAATATGTAGATATCGAGCGTCGACGAATATATATATATATATATATATATATATATATATATATATATATATAATTAAGTGGTCATTATGTGGACGTACGTCCCCTGCGATATTTGGGTGTTGCGGAGGCCGTAGAGGTCGTAGAGGTTGAGGGAAGTCTACCTTGCGAGTCACAAGGGTCACATGAGATGCCCTTTCAAGCACGGACGCTAATTGCAAGGAGCGATGGCCGTGGAATTTGTACTCATTTCTTGAGTTTGTCTTGCTTCCTGTGTACATGGCACACACTCACCACTTACGAAGGGAATGCAACGTACGGCGAATGTAGTCCCTTTTGCGTCAGTTTTACTTCACACTTGCCTCATACGTTTTTGGTGACGTATTGACGGTGTGCATCAATTTTGCTTCCTGTTCTCCTCTTCTTTCTTCTTCCTCCTCCCTTCTTTCTACTATGTAAGCTTCTTTCTCTTGCCTTTTGGAGGCATATTAGAAACTAAATTCAATTGAACAAAATTTTGAAAATTTTGAAACTTGTTGTACACGTTACACAGGCGACGTTCATTGTAAAGACACGAGCGTGCTTCGTAAGCACGCCTTTTATACACCAGGCGCGGAGGTGACGCACGTGCGTCGCATTTCCGGTACACTTTGTTCGTTAGCTGTGAGAGCGTGCGCCTTACTGAACACTACTACTTCTCCGGATGATATCCTAGTACAACCTTTATGGGGAAATGATCATATTAAGATCAATAAAAAGATAATCTTCTATAAACCTTGGTTTCGAAAAGGAGTGATTTACATTAATGACCTGATTGATAATACTGGTTCAGTAAAAAGTCTAGACGTTTTTTGTGATAAGTATAATATAGATTGTAATGTCCTTGACTATCAAGGCGTCATCAGCGCTTTACCTTCTGCCTGGAAAACTGTTATAAGAGGGTATCAAAATAATCTTGCAGCAATAACAAATAAAAATCTAGTATTATTAAAATCGAAAAACAAATTAACGAAACTTTTTTACCCGAAATTTATTTCAGATAAGGAAGCAATACCTTTTAACATCCATGATAAGTGGAGGGAAAAGCTGAACATTGATTTTCCAAGTGAAAAGTGGAAGCTAGTTCATGCATTGCCCTTTCGAGAAACAAATGACCATAAACTTCTCACACTGCAATTTAGAATTTTGCATAGAATCTATTTTACGAATTCGATGATTTTTAAATACAATATGTTAGAACATGAGCGATGCACTTTCTGTAATGACCCAAAAGAAACTTTATTGCATATTTTCTGGGACTGTACATATGTTCAAGCTATTTGGACTTGTCTCATTCAGAACCTACGTACACAGTACTCTGTTGAATTACAACAACAACCGTGCCTGTTTATATTTGGAATCCTGGACGACAGCCCTCTCTTAGGTATTAATCTACTACTTCTCTATATAAAGACATATTTCACTCTATGTGGACAGAATAAAATTACACCTCTTTGGAATGCCTGCAAAAAGTATTTGGAAAAGCAAAAAAAAAAAAAATAGATTTTCAATCTCTCTACCTACTGGGTCCTCAAAAGGCAGATAATCTAAGAAAAAAATGGGACAGTATAGAAAAAATATTAATATGAATAAAAAATAACATTTGTTGTAGCCTAGGCCTACTAAGATTCTGTTATTAAAAAAATTCTACATGTATCTTTAATCAACATTTGTAAGAACTTCGTTTGTAGTGTGTGAATGGTGTGTGGAAGGTATATTTGTCTCTTATTGTGCTGTAATAATTTGTGTTGTATTAATTTTCGAATAAAAAAAAAAAAATAAATAAACATGCAAAGGACACTTGCTCCTTCATTGCTTGCGACGTGCGTCTTGCACAACGCTCGTTTCTCTTGCTAACTCCGGACAAAGGGGAATAAGTTACGCTTGCGGCTACTCGCAGGCTATTCGTAGAATCTTTTGGAGATGTCCAACATCCTCTGCACGTGCTTACGGGCTGTCTGCGAAGTCGAAATTCCGTAAGAAGGGCTGGCGTGGGAAGTGAGATTCTGCGCAAAATTAAGACGCAAACAGCCCATAAGAGACCATACGGCCGGTTGTGACCGAGGCTTAAATCTAACACGAACCGTGGAATCTTAAATTGCGTTATCCACTAAGTTAGTCGAAAACGTAATGTCCTTTTTCGAGCCCACGCTTGAATTAAGTGTACACAAATTATATATATAAAGAGGTTTAGAATATTCATTCCATATGTATGAAAAGGTTCATTACAATTGGACATCTACTTAATACTGTAACTACTGCTTAAATGTAAAAGGTTAAGTATTTACACGGTAATAGTCCCATCTTTTATTTTCAGGGGTCTAGGTAATAGTATTAAAAATTAAAATATAGGCGATACAAAAATACTGTGAAATACTGCTAGCGGATTCTGTGGTCGGAGAGTATTAATTACAGATGATGACCACACGCTGACAGCAGCAACTGGAGCCAGAGTATTACTTCAAATATTACTGGAATAGTGAGATAATATGATAATAGTCTAGTAAATAAACCTAAGTGATATAATATGATTTTCATTTCACCAGTTTGGATGGACTTCTCTGCACAGGGCTGAAAGGCAATGCCGAGGTGGCGAAACAACAGGTACTCCTGGACAGCGGGGCTGAATTAAATGCCCAGGACTCGGTAAGACGCATGCGTGTTACAGTGCCGCCTGAAATTACCCTTACTTACCCTGCGGTGCGCTGCGGGTTGTTCAGACGGCCTGACTCGGTAACTATGGAAATAATATTGTCATCCAGGCGCTGTTTGGTTTCTGTTAAGAATAGTACCATGCCCTGCCCCGTCGGGTAATTATCGTGCCAAACTTTATGCTAACAAAAGAGCCTAACCCTAGCTCGCTGAGATAAACAAGCTGAGCTTGGTGGCAATTAAGTGTTCGTCTAAGCGTTAATTGACATTTAATGTGCGGTGGCTTCACTTTACTTTGATCACTCTACTCTGATACGGAGATTTTAAGTATAAGAACATGCCAACAGCGAAGTCTGGCTGATTCAAATACGGTGAGCTCCCCTGATGACCACTGCACGATGCAATATTTATATATTTTCGTCTCTTGTCTTGTCGCCATGATGATGTACTGCGTGATTTTAGCATATGCAGCGTGCACACCAAAAGAAATCCATACCAGAACGCAAGACGTCACTGAGCACTATCTACAGTGTATTTTGTTCTACACATAAAAGTAAGAAGCCAAAGAACAATTTCTATTTTGTCGTAAAGGGGTCCAGCCCAGGTGTACATGAATTACTCACAAATGCCTGCTTCCAACTTATTTGCTTTTAAAATGTTCCATTTAAAAATAACCATATACATTAAACGGTCTGTATGATGACTTCGAATTAGAATTTTAATTTAACACGCGTAAATATTATTAAAAAAAAATTACTCTTAATTTTGATACAACTGTTTCTCTTTCATTCTTTGATATCAACTCCGCACCTATGATTTTCAAAACGATAGGAATAGTTCATCTTTACGATCTAAACTCCAAACTTAACCAAAAGCCTTTTGCATACTTAAAAGCATCAAAGAAAATTAATTTAAAAAGCTGGATTACAATCTCTCGGGCTAACTTCACTGTTTGGCACGTGTCATCTCACATTAATTAACAATCAGTCAATCAGTTCAGGTTAGCTTTATTCATGCCGGGTAAACACAGTGATTAAGCTCTGACTATTACATAAACACTACTGTGTGACACACGTCGTCTAAAATTTAAATGTTAACATTGCGATGACGCTCTTCAATCCAAACTATTCAGTTTTACCTAATTCTCAATCAACTGACACGTGTCAACAGGATTGTTTGTGTATCTAGACTTCCTAAATGGCCAGTAAGTATTTTGTATAATATGACATGTTTCGATTATATTGTTAACGATAAGTTGTGGTTTACTTCACGGGTCTGAATTATTTTCAAAAATTATACCTGCGTGGGAGTGTTAAGCCAACCACGAGAGAACAACTTGTTGAAGGCATTAGAGAGGCATGGGGAAATATCAACGCAGCAAAGTGTAATAAATATATTAATCACCTAAAGAAGGTGATTCCAGCGGTAATTGAGAGAGAAGGTCGTGCATCAGGCTACTAAACTAGCAACACATATAATAAAAATTAATGAGACATTGATATTTATTTGATGTATTAGCTATTTTAAATTATTCATTTCAACTACGCTTGTGTTGATCGTGACTTATTATTATCAAGTGAACCTCAAATAAAATTGTTTTTCATGTTAAAACTAAGCCCGATTTGTTCTTCAGAGTTTTGTTCTCATATTCGATCTGCCTTTACTGTAGTCACCTGCTGCAGTTGATACAACATAACCCGGTATTGTGCGGCCCTTTGGTTAGGGGAATTTCCGGCGGCACTGTACTTAGACGCCCATTTCCGCTTGTGCGATATTTGTGTATATATACAGATATTGGTGTTTCTGTAGTTAAGTGATACTGAAAATCCAACCAGTGTATTTTCTATGAAATCCGTCATTGAATGTTCCATGGTTTTGTGTATGGATGGTGTATTGTGTTAGCGACTTGGATGATACAGATATACAAATGTATGTTAAAACCACGGATAGATATTTAACTCATTTCATTTGACCGTTTTTGTAGTTAATTGCAAGTTAGAATACATCCACTATTTGGGACATAGTGTAGCAGTATATGTGACACATATTGCAACAACATGCACAGGTCACATACTCTGCATTTTGTTGTATGTTTTGCCTCTCTGGTATTATTTTTGCCTCATCAGTGCTATAGATATAAGATAAACAAATCAAATGTGAGGAAAGACGACATAATATGATATCAGAATGCTGATCATTTGATGTTACCAGTATGGCAGAACTCCTTTACATCGGGCAGCATGTACACGCGATGAAAACACTGTGAGGCTTCTCCTGGAGCGTGGAGCTGATCCTAATATCACCAATAAGGTTTGTGACACATACATGTACTGTTGTATAGATAAATTACCGTTGGCCTTGTCGGCTGGTTTGATAGACATAAGGAGGTATACATGTACTTCCTCTATTTTGTCATAAACGACCGATGAGTTTGTTTAATCATTTACTTTTTATCTGGTCATAATGAGTGAGTAAAATGTAAAGAAAGAAAACATGGGGCTGATGTTACATGTAAACAGTTAGGTGCAAACTAATTCCTTTCATTTCCTTGCATTTATACAATTCATTTTTTTTTACTTGCACATTATGATCTTTCTTTCGTCATAAGATAATTTGTTAACATTTGACCTGTAAGCATTTGACTGCTGATATATATTGTGCACTTGGTTCTTCTATCTAAACGTTAGTTAATCCAACACATAAATTAAATAAAAAAATGTGAAGAAATACAACATTATATCATCCTGCTGATCATTTATTGTTACCAGGATGGCAGAACTCCTTTACATGCGGCAGCGAAAAAAGGCTGTAGAGACATCGTGAAGCTTCTTCTGGGGCGTGGAGCTGATCCTAATATCAAGGATAAGGTTTGTGACACTTTGTTAATAGGCAGCTTACACTGGGGAGTGTTGGGCGGATAAATGATTGAAGAGATGATGCAGTTAAACAATGTCTAGAATAACTGAGTAAATTCGTTTATTTTTATTATGTACAGACACAAATACAGCCGTCACCTGCGTCTGTCGTCGCTGTCGCTGCCGTCGCCGTGCACTTTCACCGATAACATGATAGGTGGAAACCGTTTTACCTTTTGGCTTAAAACTGACAAAACTGATGTATTTTCATAATACTCAGGTAAAGTTCGAAAATCCGCTTGAACAGACTATTTTTGCAAATTTTTTTTTTTTTCAGCATAAATGCAAAGCTGATAGCACATTTTAAGGAAAACCGATCAGCCTTTTTTCTTGCAACTTACAGGAGTGATCAGTCTGACTAGTTTACAGATCAAGTTTGGAAATAAGCTTGATCAGTTCAATTTTGATGAAGTTCTGACTTTTTTGTATATATGTGGTTTTTCTTCAGATTTAATTCCTATGCATGTTAACAGTCTCACTATAGAACTAATTAGATATGTAAAGGTGTTGTTTTCACATATTCTGCTTCGTATAAATCCCTTCAAATTCCAAACGCACAAACACAATAGCTTAGGTGGAAAAACACAATAGACGAATGAACCCCATGACGCCGATTTCTGTGGTCCAGCTCGAGCGCAACAATCAACTGTAACTAGGTGTAATTAACAGCAGGATACATCAGCCAGAAGGTCACCATTGTTTGTTGCGGCGGTAGGTCGCATTCACATCAAATTGAGCTATGGCTCTACAAAGCCACGGCCTAAATATGGCGGGCGTACAGTGATAGTAACAATTATGTTTCCTTTGTACACAGGTTAAACAGCGTTTGAAATGTTTTAATCCCTGTCCCGTGAATAGAATGGGGCGTGTAAACAATGGAGTGCCGTATTAATCCCTTCAAAATCCAAACGCACAAACACAATAGCTTAGGTGGAATAATACAATACTTTAGACGAGTGAACGCCATGATGCCGGTTTCCGTGGTCTATCGCGTGGTCGAGCGCGACAATAAACTGTACCTAGGTGTAAGTAACAGCAGGATACATCAGCCAGTAAGTCCGTATTGTTTGTTGCACAGGTAGGGTTATAGCTTTAAGAGGCTAGAACCCATGCTACCGCGTGCCACTAAACCGTCTCCCGTAGCGAACTGTCATTTTGTTCACTAGCTTGGCACGCGCAGCTGATCATGTTTTAAATGTTGCTAGCAAACTGCTTGTTTAATTTGGTATCAGTTATTTAATTCAATATGAAGTGTTCTGCAGTCAAAAATTGAATTTGAAAACGACGTTTCCCTGAAATTAAATAGGTAATTTTGTCGAATTGTTTGGCATATTACCGTATTTTATATTGTATTAAATTTGACAAAATGACCTACTTTCTGCATTTTTATTTTCTGCTTTTTGTCTGTACATTTGAAAGCTTTGCTGCTTTGTTTTATTAAATAATTATCGTTAATAAATAAAAGGCAAGGTGAGCCAGTAGTGTTAAATATACAAACAGGCACATTATATTCTCTCTCCTCATCATTGCGTTATTTGTTTACAGAAACGCATGTCCCTTGTATTTTCGTGTTGTTTTCTTGGCGGGTTTAATTCTACACCACTTATGTAAAATATTAATATGTCAAACCCTTCTGTCGAACCATTATTGAAAGCGTTAAAACAGTGAAAAAAGTGTAAACTTTCTATTGTAGGATAAACTAACACCATATGCCTTGGCTGTAAAAAGGAACCATAGACACATAAAGATAATGCTGCAGAGATTTTCTTTGCCATCGATTCAGGTTTGTTTTTTCGAATGACGGAATGATCTCTCACTTAAAATCAGGAATAAGCCTAAACGTTATTCATATTTCTATCATGTCGGGTTATTTGGTTGCCACAATCATTTTTTTTTTCTGGTAACCAACACGCTCTTTCAACCTCTATCATATATATGTCAATGTTGGTAATTTCAGACCCATCTTTTCCAAAAAGTAATGACTGCAGTGAGTGAACAAGTGTCTGTAAGAGACATCCGCTTCTTGGCGCGAAAGCAGCTGGGAATACTTAACTCCAAGCTGGAGAACATCAGATGTCAGAATCCAAATGATGCAAGGGAGGAGGCATTCCAGATTCTGTGGGAGTGGATGAAAACAAAAGCAGGGACCACAGTCCATAACCTGTTCAAGGCTCTGAAAGACCAACAGTTGAATGCGTGTCTGGGTTAGTTTTATTTTATATTACTGGCCTGTTGTTAATGCACTAGACAATTTACGTATGTCTCCTCCATCTCATTGTACCACAAACTTTCAGTCTCATTTATAACAAGAAAGAAGGCAACAAGGAGTATTGATTGTTCGTATATAACCCCACTATCCTAATCATTTTAACAATAATAACAATGTAGCAAATTGTTGCGTGCATTAAATGTTATGGCCTTAGGGATATTTATACCGCATTCATGTAACAGTCGGCAATTGTACTGTTGAGCCTTGCTTGAAGTTGTGCAGAATCTGTCAAGTGTACGGTTCAACAGATCGAGTGAACTGCTGAAAATTCTTAGAGAAGTAAAAGCCGATAGCATTTTTTGAACTGAAGGTTTCAGTTGAAGATTTGAGATAACTTGTAGCTTAATCGTATCATGCGCGTCAACAGAATGCATCAAGCAAAATGGGGTCAGGCAGTGATGGTATAAGTAGCAACATCTGCCTCAATGGAGATTACCCCTCTAGGGCACAATTGAGCATGTGCAGAATGCACATGTGCATAAATAAGCTCTGGAGATTGTTGTCGCCATAAAATGTCGTTTGACTACGCCAAACTTTCCTTTTCATTGTTTATGTTATGTTCCTCGTTGATCTTGAGCATATTTTATCGGCTGTATCGAGTATATCCGTGAACAAATACGCGTGACAACTGTTTGTTGATATTCACTTATCACTGAGAGAAAAAAAAAAAAAAGCTTCAACCGATTCTCTCAGAGGCCTCCAGGGTGCTGTATTCACTTAGAGACTCACTGTTAACCAAAACAGACTCACTCAAGTCCGTTTAAGGAATCCAACCTAACGATTTCATTGTTTCAAGCTAGACTCAAGTTTTGAGTCCATTTAAAGACTCACTTTGGCGGGCTTTGCAAGCTTTGAGTCCTTTTAAAGACTCACTTTGGCGGGTTTTTTAGTCACGTGATTGGTGATGACAGATCCGTCAGGTACCACAAGGAAGCCTTCACACACGTTTGTTGTTTTGGTAAGTAAAATTTTTAAGTATTTAACGGTTTTATCCTTTTTTTTAATTAGACTTTTTTTTATACTTTTTTTTTAATTTCCTAAAGTTTTATATCATTGAAAGCTTTAAACCATATTGAGACGATAAGTTATAGACCCATAGCCCTTTTTGGGCCTGTTGCTGTGAGTATTGAATACTGTGACTTTTTCCGTGGCAGTAATCAAAATCTTATTTTATTCTCACACATAGGATTTTTTCTGATTAGCTTTAATAAAAAAAATCACAAAACCCTGTAAGCTTTTTAAAAATAAATCATGTAGTATTTATCATTTTTTTTATCCACTGCTGTGTGGATATAGCAGTAGAAAATCAGGTCATTGTGTTTCTGAAATTGGACCACAGCTAGAGGTCAGGCTAAACTTCCGCTTTTGCTGTCGTATTTATCTGTTATTATGTTACAGTCTTGTTTTAAAAGATCAGTTCATGTAAAAAGGCTAGCAAGTTTGATATTAAATAACAAACTAGTTAGGAAAAATTACCTTTAATCTTAACATATTATACCATATCAATTTTTAGAATAAATTCATATTTTTATCTGTTGAATTTATGTTGTTTACTTATTTTCAGTTATTCAATGAATTCACAAGGCTATCGGAGAAGGATATAAAGTCAGCAATGGCGAAAAACTTGGATTTTTATGGACAAGGTCTTGTCAATTTGCCACAGCCCAAAGGAAAAGGAGCTTCCATGAGGGGACTCTCTAGTGAACTGCAAGAGGCTAAAGAAGCTACATGGCGTCTGCACGCTCTGATGTTGACAAAAAGTGTATGTACCATTTAATTTTCAATATTTTTTACAGTTCCTTTTGAAATGCTTCCCTCTAAAAAGACATTGGATTCAATTTCATGGTTTGCATCATTCTGTATTGTCTCAAAATAAAGGCAAAATAACCTTATAAAAATGTCAGGAGTTTCCGCAAGCCAGGCTTAGGCTGCTTTCTTCTTCAGTGTGATATGGTTGGGCAGATTGTGGGTCTAATGATGACGTCAAAAAAAATTGGCAACTTATGCCCGCCCTCATATGGGTTAACAAAACCAAGGGGTTTTTAATCCATATAATTTCCTTTTGGGATAATTGAGATGAAAACCTTGACATTGAACGCTTTAGTATCCCAATAAAAGTATCCTCGGTTGCATTGAACACATTCCTCTACTCATAAAATAATGTAACTGCTATGAGTTATTTTCACTTGCACATTACCTATATATGCAATGACATATTTATTTTTAGATCCTGCACTTAATCATGAAACAATTCTTTCTTGCAACAGTGTAAACCTAGTCAATACAAGTGAGATTTACAAGAGGTTGATGTTACTCGTTACTTGGCACTTTTTTTTTTAATTAATAAAGCTCATTTTTGCGACCCTACATGTATGCACAATTTCATCTTGTTAATTCTTTTGGATTTAATATTTATTGCATCCTTTGACAACAGAAAATTTGGTAGAACACATCCAAAGCTAATGTTAGACATTGAAGACTACAGTTAATACATAGTTCACTGTAAATGTAAAGTATATTCATAACTTGCTACATCTCATTAGTAGATGATAATGAGTATATATATTTTTTTCTTTACATGTAGATGCTACCTGGTGGGTTGGCATTTTGTGTTTGCCGCTTCATTTGAAGGAAGAATGTGGATGCCTGCTTCGAAAATTCAGTTGTCTGGGAGATTCAGTTCAGCCTATAATTACTTCCAGTACTCAGGAGACTTTATGTCAAGAGACAAAATTTTACATCTATCTGAAAATGTGAAAACCGCCACAGTTGATTCATTTGTCGATGCTCCTGGTGGTCACTTATTTTGCTTTTAACATGGCATATTCGACCAACCTTTATGGCACCTGACTTTCATTCAGAAAGTCCTGATTGGGCATACAAATAAGGTTAAGGTTTTGCCCAAGCTGACTACCTTATTAACAAGAATACATTCATAAACACTATGGCACCATTATTCATTGACAAGTATTCAAACTATTACAGGTTAGCCAATTTAAAGGCTCTTTTAAATTCCTTACACTTAATTTTAGCCAATTTGCCGGCTCTTTTACTGAGTAAATTCCTTACACTCAATTTATTGAGGACCAAATTTTTTACTGGCATATCTGGTTAAAAGGCTGTAATTTTTTAGGAAAAGTTTCTTGAAAAAAAATAGATCTGCCACTGAAGTTCGGAGACACCACTTTGTTCCTCAAAAAATTGGTGTTCGAGTTTTCAAAAAAATGAGGAATTTAGTTCATGTGACCATGACAAAGACATTGAGTTATACGTGGATGGAAAAGTTTGTCTTGACTTCTAGTTTTATAAAGTATAAACTTAAATATGTTGACACTTTTAAGTTAAAACGATATTTTCAAGTAGACTGGTTATAATAAGCCATTCACATTAACTTAAGACGAATACCAAGGTCAGAGTCTTCAAAAGCTTTGTTTCCTTTTTTTGTGAATAATGTTTGTATTGTAAGCAGCAAGATGCTGTATCTATGAATAATCATTTCTTTCATATTATATTTTATATTATCTTTTGTAAGCTGTAAAAAATTACTACACTACACATACTATGACCAGTACTTAGGCCTACCAGTTCATTAATATACAGTCAGAATTATTGTATAATAAAATCATTTTATAAAAAAGAAAACCATTATATTCATATCGCTTTTATAGGTCTCAATTTGAAAGATTTGTTAGAAAAAGGGGTTGGGTAGCATTGCTTACCTGTCGTATTCAAAGCAGGGCCCCGTATCTCGAGCGCTTCGCTATGTTGAAAGCGTGCGCAAGCATGGCGAGCGTGCGCTATCCCTTTTCTCGAAAGCTTTGTAAATCGCTGTCGTGCGCTAATGGCGAAATCACCATTAGTTTCGAGGCTATTATTTGCGACGATACAAACCTGTCGCAATGACCTCGCGTATGCATAATTTGTCATTTTAATGTGTCTTTCATGTAATTAAACGTGTTGGCAAGTTTGGGTTGCTAGTCATAATAGCATATAACAAAACATATAACAAAAAACATGGAAGCTTATAATAGATTGAATCAATCGGTACCTCTGATAGAAAAACTTGCGGTAAATATTCACGCGAAGAATGCTAAAGTCATGTTTTCAACTGCATTAAAAATCAAAATTAAACATTTATACATCATTTTATATTTTCTGATTAATATAATTCATCTGTGTAGTCTACTGATAACTAGAAAAGCACTCAGAGATCAGAGCTCAGACCTCCGCCAAGGCAACAAAGTTTCTATCCAATGCCGTTTCATCCTAAAATTTTCGATATTTTTGATTATTGATCATTGATTGATTTTTGTTCCGGATCACCACCAAAAACCAACCATCTGTTCCTTGGCCCTCTCCTGACTGTTCCTGAAATCGGTTTCATCAAAATCGGTGGACATTTTTATTATTGATTATTGATTGATTATTGATCCGAATCACCACCAAAAACTAATCACTTATGAGTTAACCATCTGTTCCTTGGCCTATTCCTGATAGTTCCTGAAACCGGTTTCATAAAAATCAGTAGACAATTTATTTTTTTTTTTTTTTTTTTAGATTATTGATTATTGATTGATTATCGAATCACCACCAAAAACTAATCACTTATATTTTAACCCATTTCTGACCAACCTTAAATCTTATTAGTTATGTTGATGACAAACAGACAGAAAGACAGACAGAAAGAGAGGGGTAAAAACATAACCTACATTGCGGAGGTAATAATCATGAATTTAAAAGTGTAATTTTCTACACAAAATGAAAAAGCACAAACAAAGCATTCGGTCGCACTGTGACCTTTCTCAATGTCTATTATTGTGAGACTGAACACTATTCACCAATGTGTCAGTAAATGTGACAGTCCAAGCTTCGCTTACTGAATTGTTTTTTGACATTTAATTGGTGTTAAACACTTCAAATATCAGTATTTGTAATAATGATAGTCCTATAAATAAAAACAACGTCTTGATTAGCGTCATGGAGAAAAAAATTACATTTTGTGTAATTATTTGAAGACGTCTTCACTTTATGCGGGGATCGAATTTTAGTAGAGTTTGAGGTTATAATTGCATTGCGTTTGCGTAGGCTTCGAGATAACAGGTGGGTGCAATCGCACCAGCAAATAGTGCACGCTCGCCATGCTCGCGCACGTGCGCAAAATAGCGAAGCTTTCGACAAACGGGCCCGGGTGTCTCATCAAGTAATGCAATTTAAAATGTGCTTTCAAAAAGAATTTTAATTTTTTCACTGCTGTGTTTTTCATTAAAAATGTATTTTTCTACTGTTGTCTGGATTATGTTTGAGGAGTCTATGAAATACTTTTTCAGCTTTTATAATATCTGCAAAAACGGGAAAAAAATAATAATAATTAGAGGCCTGCCAAAATTATTTTTCATAAATAAATTGATTCATCCAACCGGTGATAAAATCGGTATCAATACTAGAAAGGGTCCTTGATGGCCTTGATGGCCATTTCGCAAGCTCCATACTATTGTCGAGTGCGATGACATCCGAGTAGTACGAGTGGTATGAATGGATGAACAACAATGCGTCTCGCTAGATTACATTATATGCTAGTCATGTGAGATGTGTAAATACGAATACACTATAGTTTACTATATTGTCTTTTGGGCTGATTGTATACTTATGGATTGACTATTTATTGTTTATTATTATTATTATTATTATTATTATTATTATTATTATTATTATTCAGTACATTTGAATAAAAATTCTAAATTGAGACATACCCAAAGCTCGTTTTGTTTTAATTACAGACACAGTCAGGAATAAGTATTCCTCGTTATTGAATGACATATGGGCCATGGCAGAGGACAAGTTCCAAAAGTTCTTGTCTTCCCTTCCACCTGCTATGTCAAGCACAAGTGACGTCACATTGTCCAACACGATGGAGATGAACCTGAGATGCTACGTTTCGGATGACTTGAATTTTTTGTATGTTCCATTGGAGAGCTTCAACGCCAATGCCAAGGGGAATGATAAGGACAGCGTCAAAGCCGTGGTCAAGTATCGCTTCGCTGGGAAGGCCGTCTGCCGGAATGAGGCTACATTCGTTAAGATGGTGGAATGAAGGGCTGTGGTATGATAAAAATGTGCTTTTAGTTGCTGTTTGGTAGAACGGTCGCCAAGTAAACGGAACATATAACTTAATCACAATGAAGTAGCCAATATGCTTTCAACATGTCACATCACAAAAAGTAGCAATCTTATGAGCATGGCGAATTTTATACATGCTTTAAAAAATGATAATTGATAATGCATCTTTATTTTCCCCACCTATACCTGTAAGTTGAACGTTACTAATAATGTTTCATTTGATTTAGTAATTAAAATATAGGTTGGTATTCAGTTATCACCTACTACCTGAAACTCGGAATTACTGGTCTTCTTGGAGGAAACGATTGGAATATTATCATTAACTTTTATGTGATAATTATTTCTTATATATATATATATATATCATTACGTGATTGTTGATTTGTTGAAACCGGTTTAAGCTTTATATAACATTCAAAGATAGATAACCATTACTTAAAATAGCTGCATAAAATATGTAGAACATATCTTGAAGTATGGTATTAATTTTGATTATTCTTGCTATTTGAATGTTATTGCTTAATTTGATATAGCGTTATAAATGGTCTTGCTTCATATATAAGCGCTAAATGTGCAATAACGTTATTTTTTTTCTTCGTGAGTATATCCGTATGTTTCATGTATGGCAATATGCACGTGTTCCATTTATACTTTAGTTGTTCTGGTAATACTAATATTGTAAAACACATCTGTACTCAAGATACACATTTGTTAGTTATAAAGAGGTGCTTATTAAAACCGTACAGCAGGTGGTGGTGGTTGCAATTTATCAAAACAGGCTTTGTTTTATTTTCATCATATATATGCTGCTTAGTTATATGAATATGCATGCGTGTTAATGATAAGATATACGTAGACGCTTATTGTTTTGCATTAGTAAAGCATATTATAATATTAAGGTCAGACTAGTATATCTGCATGGTACTCATCCGTTGTGGTTGATAAGAAATTACCATAAGAAATGTAAGGTTCAGTAGAAAAAAAGTTCCAAATTACAAAGCAACAGGACAGCAACCCAATAATATTACCTAAATAAGGAGACACCCTGGATTTTAAGCTTAAAGTCGCTATTCACAGCAAACTTTTGTATTTTTCAGGGCAAATGTCCTAAACATTTTGGTGGAAATGCAATTTAGCAGAATTTGTCAAGAAATGGAGAGTTCTAAAATGTAATACAACAGGTTAAATTATGGTCTCTTTATGCATACTTGCTTGATATGTGTCTTTACTTTTGAGTTGAACTGTCGATTTGTGAAATAAAATTTACTTTTCATAGTCTGTTTTTCATTTAATTGATTAAGTGCACAATTATTTATTTTATCTCGAAAGGCATTTCCACTCCAACATCTACAAAGTTGTGAAATTGGGGGAACTGGACTAGAGAACTATCTCCAGAGGAGACAAGCCGGGCTTGCCTCTCTCCTTCACCCCAAACAAACTGTATATGTACTTCAGGACGACTCTGACAGTAACTGAATCACTTACATAAAAATAGAAAGAGATAACTTGGGGCAATCATAATAATAACTATGATAATAATAACTGTCTGTCTGTCATCAACATAACTTTAAAAGTTATGGATGAATTTCGATGGAATTTTCAGGGTAGGTCAGAAATGGGTTATCCAAGAAGTGATTAGCTTTTGGTGGTGATCCGGATCAGTAATCAATCAAAATTCAAAAATACTAAACCATTATAGAATGAAAATTTAGGGGTGAAGCGGCATTGGGTAGAGAGTTTGCTGCCTTGGCGGAGGTTTGCGCTCTCGGAGTGATTTTCTAATGTTGATATTTAGAAGCATAAGACACAAGTTAAGGCAATGGTATCAAGGGGAATGAAAAACGTCCTAACTCAAAGATGGTCAAACTACAAATGGGTGCCCTGTGGTTGGCTTACATGTAAAATTATCCGTGTATCATATGCACATAATAACGTGTTCAGGGATAAATAATAAGCTTGCATTGGATGTCGGAGGTACCGCTGCCGCAACCATTACCTCATTCGAATAGTACAGTGTATTAGTAGAAATCAAACACCTTGGGGAAATGGGTATTTCCACTGTGGAAATCAATTTATCAGTCTCTTACTTGATTTTCATTATTTACATTTGACGGAGTTGAATCAACCTTAATGATAGTTCAGCCAAGAATAATTCACTAACCAGTCAAATATATGAAATAACTCTACCCGGATACCGTTTATATTAATTTGTTAGCGTCAGCGTCAGTGAGTCAGTTACACATTACATTTTTTTAAGTCTTCGACGTATTTTTCACAGACTCCGTCCGATGACATTGCGCGATTGTTTGGCCACCGTTAGTAACTACGAGCAAGGGCTAATATATACTAAATAACGCGCTGTTCTCGGCTCGTATATACACAACAGCATACTCAGCAATAGCAGTCATTTGTTTATCATACAAACAAGGGGAAATCGTAGGTTTTTCGAGCCCCAAAACCCCTAATTATGAATAGAATACGCTGATATCATTCCCCTAATACCACCACGCATAGGGTGATATCAGTCCCACAGCCCTTTGTTTACCTTATGTACGGGCGAGGCGTCTTTTCTCCCACAAGGTCAGGTCAGGTCCAGAAAAAATCGGTTAGCACAGCGCCTTTTATGTCTTAGTGCAGATGCTGCCCCCCCCCCGCCCCCCTGTGCGTCAACATACTGTCAGTGCACCCCCTCCCCCCTTACGTTTTAAGCTCCCAAGTATTCAGAATACGGAAACCCGTAACTTCAAATCCATGCATGTGGATAAAACTAAGGTTAAGACATATTGCTGTTTATGTTCCTAATATAAACACCACGGGGAAGTAAAAGGAACCAATTTATGTGCAACCATTCATTATCACGATCGATCACCGCAAGTACGACCTAGAGGCCCACAGTTTCAAATAAAATGTCAAAAGTTTTTCGTTGGACCAGAAACTTGGTTTATACGATGGCGAATCCGTACGATTCCGTACAGCCCCCACCTACTTCAACTCACACGCCACACGAATAGGAACATACGGGCAGTGTACACCGTATGGACATCGCAGGACACAGGTACTTATATCTAAGCTTCAGAAACGGGAGTAGGGGGTTCAACAACACTAGTACTACTATTCAATTCAATAAAATTTATATCTTCTATTTTTTATTTTTTTTATTTTATTATTATTTTTTTAGAATGTATACCGTTATCGATTTTGAAAAGGCTTATATAAATACCAGTTTGCAGCGCATTTAAGTCCTACGGGTATGTATAGTGCAGGTTAAATATTGTTTTGTTTTGACGTCATGGCATTGTGAGGCAGTAGGTCCCTAAAAAGAAATATTCCCCGCCACCTGTGCTTAAAAGTGTGACAAATCAATATCATATAAAGTAATGTAATTGTGTTGTGGAGCACCAAATCTGATCACAACTCATCTAGTTACAGTCCTGTTTTCTAGTGGATATCCCTCAAACAAATTAAGAAATATAACATGTACCTGTTCCAGCATTTATTATGATAACAACAAAGGTCACCGCCTCGAAATCGGGTTTTCCAAACCTTCCTGCGAATAATCCTGTCGTGCCAGTGTTGTCAGGGTTAACTGCTGTGCCTAACGAGGTGGGTAAATTCATGATTCTAAAATGCTGAAATAATGAAACAAGTTTCGACTTTTAGTGATTAGCGAGGCAAAGTGCTTATTTATCTCCTTTCTTCTCGATATTTCATGTCCGATATGAGTAGTCTTGTTGTGTTTGTTGCCGAAAGCTACCGATGTAGTGACAGGTGTTAAACCACCTTGATATTTTAGCTTTAATCAAACATTTATCCAAATACATTTTCTATAGAGTTTTGCAAGACTCAGCAGAGGGTATTTACGCAATAGATTATTGCTGCTGCTAATAAATGAAAGTTTAAATATATATTTGTTACATTGCTTGCAAGTACACCCCATCGTAAGTTTTGGGGAATCCCCTTTTTTATTGTTCTCTATTGATGTTAAAGCATTGTGAGGCAGTAAATAGAAATGTTTCCCTACACTATTATTAGACGTGAACGCCACACCTGCCGTGCCAGTGTTGTCAGAGTTAATTGTTGTACTTTGAAATGTTGACAGGAAGAAACAAGTATCGACCTTAAGTGATTTATAGTAAGGTTAGTAAGTTAAGCTTATTGATCTCCTGTTATATCCGTTTTGACTAACTTTGTTGGGATTTTTTGTTGGCATTTCTCTTCCATTTTTGCACTGGAATGAAAAAAGGTCACCTCCTTTGTTTGGGTATATTCCCCTAGATTTAGGTCAATAGACGGAGGCGCATGTATTTCCTTTGTTACAAAATCACACAAATTGATTCTTGTGAGATGAATATGTTGGTACACTTGGAATGTAGGAATAAAGTTAGTATCACTGTAACAGCGCTTATTTGATTTGTCATCTGTATATCTGCCCAACGTAAAACAAGGAACCTGAAACATCAACACTGGGCAGCAGGGGCGGATTTAGGCCGTCTTTTGGGTCTTCCGGAAGACGGTCAGATTTTCAAGTTAACATTGACGGGTATCTAATTTTTTCTGTTGGAAGACGGTCAAAATTGGAGGATGAACCAACAAAGATAATTTGGAAGACTGTCAGTAAATAGCTCTGGATCCGCCCCTGGGCAGTGATATCATTGTATTTTACCAATTGCAATGTACTATAACACCATGCCCACGAGGTGTTTCGGTTCCCTATCATAATTCAAAATCCAGGAAATTCGACGTTTTAAGGAGTGTGGGGGTACCATAGAAGCCATCATGTGCATTATTACAAGCGTAACTTTTAAAACCCGATTCAAGCGGCAGTTGAAAATAATGTAAAGTATATTATAAAGTAATCCCGTTCTGACAAAATCCTCTTACTTACACCTACTTAGTATTCTATCAGGCCATGTCACTACTCCACCAGGCTGTGCGTAGAGGTGATACTGACAAGGTGAAGCGACTGCTGCGTGAGTGGAGATATGATGTATACTGCCAGGATGACTCTTGGGTACGTAGCTGCAGCTGGAATAATACTTCATTCTCAAACATTACTAAATAGTGAAATAATATTATAATAATCTAGAAAATAAACCAAAGTATGATATAAAATGGTTTTGATTTCTTCAGTGTGGATGGACTCCTCTGCTCGTAGCAGTGCTGAGAGAATGCAGATATGGTGAAACTATTCCTGGACAGCGGGGCTAAAGTTAATGCCGAGGACTCGGTAAGACGCATGCTTGTGACTTATATGCCCATTTCCCTTCGTGCGATATTTATGTATATTTATACTGTATTAATATGATATGGGAGCTTCAAATTCTGTAGTTTAGTGCTACAGATAACCCAACGTGTATATTTTCCATGAAAACCTCGAATATTCCATTGTTTTGTGTATGCATGGTGTATTGTGTTAGCGAGTTGGGTAATACGGGTATGTATTTTTCCTTTCTTTGACTATGGTGTATTCAAACCAGGGACAGATATTTAACTTTTTTTTTTTTTTTTCATTTCACCGATTTTGAAGTCAGTTGCCAGTTAGAACAAATCGTCTATATATTTTTTATATATTTAGGATACTAGTACTTGAGACACATATTGCAATACATGCACAACATGCATACTGTAGGCCACACACTCGGTATTTTGTTAAACAGTATTATTTAAATTAACATAATTATTATTTTTTTCAATCTCTTTTTTTTTTTT